ATAAAAAAAACTGGCGGGCTAATCGCCGCCGGTTGGCTGCTGTATCATCAGCAAAAGTTCATCGGAAGGTCTGAAGTAACAATTAAGTATCGGAACAAGCACCTTCCGTGGACATCACTGCAAGAGCATTGTAAATTTTGTTCATAATTTCTTCTCGCTTAACATAATATATATTTAATCAGCAAGCAGAGTTGGTTTTTTATTTTGCATAGTAATGAACGCGGGCAAAAAATGCAAATTCTAAAGCCAAATTGGTGGTCAGGTACTTATGACTAAATTCTGATATTACAGTGTCGAATCGCTTTCTTTATTTGTCGTTATCTCAAGTTCTTACTAGGACATACATAGAGTCATGCTCATTAATTTGGGACTCACGTATGGTTAAATATCTTTTTTTAACACACACCAATTAGCCTAGCCCCAAGGTAATAATGGTAATGAGTAATTATAATCATCATCATCACCAGCCTATTAACGTCCCCACTGCTGGGGCTCAGGCCTTCCCATGACCCACCATGAGGGCCCGCGTGCGGATTGGTGGGTGTTATCAACCGCAGATGCAGTCGAGACCAACTGCTTGATGTGCCTTCCGAAACACGGTGGAGCTCGAGATAATACCTAAAATTTTGGTCTCCCATTCGATGACCGACCATAGAGAAAATCGCTTGACTTCCACGATCGCAGGCCGAACGCGCCATCTACCTGCGCCATCGACCGATCGATCGATTAATTATGATCATGCTTAGGTAAGTATTTCTCTATTTCTTATTCTTATTTAGGTTATCTAATATATAAAATTCTCGTGTCGCGGTGTTTGTGGTTAAACTCCTCCGAAACGGCTCGACCGATTTTCGTGAAATTTTATATGCATATTCAGTAGGTCTGAGAATAGGATGTAATCTATTTTTCATCCCCCTAAATGTTAAGGGTAATCCACCCCTATATTTTTTTTTTCAATTTTAGATAATATTTTTTGTTATTTTTTTTATGATACAACATTAGTAAATACATACAACCCTAAATTTTCACCTTTCTACCACCAACCCCTATTTTTTATGGCGGTACGAAGTTCGCTGGGACAGATCGGACAACATCTATTTTTCATCCCCCTAAATGTTAAGGGTAACCCCTAATTTTTTTTTTCAATTTTAGATAGAAAAAAAATTATGATACAGCATTTGTAAATACATTATAACCCTGAATTTTCAACCCTTTACAATCAACCCCTATTTTACCATCGCGATTTTTATTTTTAATAATTTCTTTTTTTTTCTCAATTCAATTTGATCTTCCGCCTTCACCGGTGATAACCGATCAACGATCAATCGATCAGTTATCCCCGATAGATGTCTACCTGGGCCACCTCTCATCCAGCAAACATCACGGAGTAGGGATGAAAAGGAAGCCGGTCTCCTGTCTTCCTCAATATACAGTTTTCAGCCATTTTTTTTGGTTACATTTGTGTATCGATCGTAGCAGTGACTAATACGTATTATTTTAATTTTTCTGTGCATCTATTACGTTAATTTTACTCTCATCGTGAATTTATTATTAATTTCCAGTGCAATAATTATTTTTTCACATTTTATTAATAACTGATAAAGACAGTTTTAACTATTAGCCGGAACGGCTCGACCGATTTTCGTGAAATTTTATATGCATATTCAGTAGGTCTGAGAATCGGACAACATCTATTTTTCATCCCCCTAAATGTTAAGGGTGGTCCCTACTTAAACAATTTGTTTTGGACCATCATCATACAAAAATACATACAACCCTAAATTTTCACCCTTCTACCACCAACCCCTATTTTTTATGGCGGTACGAAGTTCACTGGGACAGCTATATAGTAGGTATTTGGTGACATTGTAATGCTCCATACCTATACACATAATTATAAAAAAGCGGCTTCAAACTTTCTCATTTCAGAACCAATACAATATTAAAAAAAAAGAACAAGGGCAAGACACAATAGAACGCAACGTAAGCAGTACTCGAAAATTTAAAAAAATCGAAAATTGAATGCCGTACAATGAAAACCGAGGTTCCCTAATAGTGCAGTCATTGAAGCATTATAGCTCCGAATTTTTATACTGTGAACCGAATTGCATACAATTTTGGAATTAGGTTCATCCTACTCTTAACTTCAAAAGTGAAAATGATTTGAACTCCGCAACCACCCTGGGGTGGTATAAGCGATGCGTGTGGAACTGAATTTTCTTTCATTGAATTTACGTCCTTCAAATTTGTTTGTGTAGCTTTTGTAAAATTGTTTTTTCGTTATATAGTGAAAAGCTCTTCCACTCTTTCCTTTTGTTTATTTGTTGTTAATTTTTCTTTGTATTCTAGATATAAATGCTGATTCATTATATTTACAAAGTATTTAATACACCCGTGTGAAGCCGGGACGGGCCACTAGTTTCTCTATAAATTCATACAATCAGCCATGCCTTGGTACAAATGCTCGTGTTTATCATACAAACGTTTGCCCCACCGGAATCCAAACCCAGGACTTCTGAGGCTATGGGTAGGGGACATTTTGAAACCTGACGCACATACCACTCGCATGAAGATCGTCTTTCTTCTGTTTCTTTTTTATGCCAAAAAGGTGGCAAAAAAGCACTTGACCCGCCTCATGGTACGCCACCATAGATGCTTGCGGTACCAGAGCTATCCCTACCCCGTGGAGCCCCGCAAACCTTACTCACCGACTGAAACAAAAGACAGTGTTATTTTACTGTGTGTCTTCTGTAAGGTGGAGATTACTTCCCCAGGCGCTCCAATTCGAGCGAGAACTCGCTATACCCTACCTCTCTTCAAAGACCAAAAAGAGTCGTACACCAAACAGGTATATTATATGCTATTTTTTTAACCAAATATGTTGTTATGGGGATGCATTAGGCACTCACTGTCACGTGCTGCCACAGGAGACAAATGGTCAGTTTGCGTCCTAGACGTCCCGAATAAAGATCAAACCATCAATTCCGATCTTCCGATCAAGAATCAAAATTAAACACTTAGTGCAGATTTATGAAGTTTTCTCCGAAATTCCATGGATAGATCTAGAATCCAGCAGCTTAGGTTTTGCGTTGCGTGTTGATCGATCAGTGAGTATATTTTTTCTTATAAGTAAGTTGTATATGCAATGACATTCTATCTACAACAACATATATACAATCCGTGTATACAATGACATTGAGGTTATGTTATTTTGTTTAAATTCTTAGGCAATCCAGTGAGAAATCTTAAGTCAGATCCAATCGACTGTGAAGTTCTACTATTGAATAATAGATATTAAAGTAAGTCTGCTGAATACTAAATCGTTTCATAAATTTTAAAAACAATTATTTTATGTTTAGTTCTTTATAGGCAACAGCAGTTCCGATTAGTATAAATAACTTTTTTATTAGTATAAATTTTAAAAGATCTAAATATTTTATTTTTATTTAAAAAAAATTGAGATACCATATAGTATGTAGATGTACCGTCAAATGATATAGTTTTGGATCCATATCATTAAAATGTAGTTTAAACATTCGCATTGCAATAAGGTCGAAATTTCCAAACAAATATGGCGTTGAAATATCAAGTTAAAATCTTTTCGACCTTATTGACATTTCTGAATATTTACACCCTTTCTAATCATATCATTTCGTTTATATATTTTCATGATTATAATTATGTCAGTTGCAAACAAGGAATAAATTGCTTTTATGAAATCCTTATCAAAATTTTCACTTACTAATTTTAACCTTATTCCTTATATAAATAATACCATATGACATTATCAGAAAAATTAATGGACAAGTTAAATAATAAGTTGATTGATTGGGAATTTCCGTACACTTCTCTGGTCCGTAAGATTTGAGTTGTCTCTACTGACATAATTATTTTAGTGCTCAAATACTATGTTATAGTAACTTATTCGGTCAAAAAAATTGCTCTAGATGTCCGATATTCAGCCTTAGGTGAATCCCAAATTAAAGAACGTGATTGTACACACATAGTAAAAGTTCTCAAACCTATCCGACCCAATGCCCTCCCTCATATAAATAGGTTTCTATTACAGTAGAACGATCGTCCCTCCGTGAATATATTGTGAAACAGGAGGCAAGCCTCTTGACTGTTTGAGGTGGTAAGCAAACAAGCTGTATTTCTAAATTACATTTCATGTCTGAAGTAAATTTTATTAGAAAAAGTCAACTTGAGCCTGGTGTCGGGCTCAAATGTTTATTGAATGGATTTATTTAATATTTTTTAATTTCAGTAAAAATCTTTTTAAGTCTAATAACTACTTCAATTATGTTGAAGTATCGATATATTGAAATTATGTTACTTCACATAAAATTCCGAAAGCATAGTGTAGTAAAATATCGAAGTCATAATAAATTAACTCTGTTGTGTTAAGCGCGTCCTCCAGGCTTTTTAAACGACATAGGTGCTGATCTCAAATTTAATGATCGAATAATGACTATGTTTCATTATATAAATAATCACAATTGTTTTAAATATTCCAATAATACCGTTTCAGACTGGATTAGCGAGCATATTCATTTAATTAATTCAAACATTGTTGTATGCCTATCTGCTCCAACAACATCTATACAAATACTACATACATCATCTTATAAAAAAATAAATAATAGCGCAAGTGGTCGACGAGTTTAGTTTCCGATTGTGGAAGTTATATTATTATTATGCGACTTTCGCATTGACCATTTGTAGCATGTATGACTAAATATTTACTATTTCGAGCTCCATAAAGCTTCGGAAGGCTTTCTAAGCCATTCCGGCTAAGTCTGTAGTCAGCACCTCTAACCAACTATGCGCCCGCGTGCTTGCTTATGACCCAATCCATTCCATCATTCATACGGAAGGATTGTCTATGGAACAGTGATGACATTAAGGTGATGATGATGATGCATATTCTATTAAATTTTAGATATGTACAGCAGTATTCCACTTTCCTGTAATAGTTTCTAATTTTTTTAGGCACTTACCGCCAATCCCCTTTTCCTGGGTGCTGAATTGTTGTAGTTGTGTGAGACAACTTGCACAGCCGGTGGGAACGCGCCGTCCGCGTTCGCTAAGATGGCGGGACCTCGAGTTCTCTGCGAAGGCGACTGTCTCATGGCCCCTCCTCCGCAAAGCCCCATTATATAATTAAACAGCTAACTCTGAAATAATAATAATATATTTGTTAATTCTCTTCACATTTATTGAAATTCACAATAAAATACAAATGCATCCTATCAGTGAGGGTTTCCTCTATCTGGCTGAACCTTGTTGTTTATTTGGCATAACACTCACGAAATTAATTTGGCATACACACTTGGCATAATCTGTTTTGAACGAATATTAATTTGTAAGGTACACTTTTTTAATTATGATCATTTTTTGGTTGAATATTTATATGTCCGCATTCACAATGGCGTACTTTTAAGATGGCAGATTTTTATTAGTTATATTTACCTATCTCTGGAGAAATTATATACTATGCATAATTACGTCAAGGATATTTGGAGAGGATGCACGCGGTGACATGCAGTTATACAATATGCCTCAAAATAGTTGAAAGTACATGGAATCCACTCAAAACTGTTTTTTTAGATACCTAGAATTAACAACTTTTATTTTAATAGATATTGTTATAACAGAAAAAGGTTGGGTTCTTGTAGTATTCTCAAAAAAAAAACTAAAGTCAACGCGACGAAGTAGCGGGTGGCCGTTGGTACCTAATAGATAAATAAACAAGTGATAAAAAAATATAAAATAATGAATATTTCCAACACTGACACCTAATTAACCTAGCCACAACGTAAGCACTGTAAGGCATGTGTTATGGGATACTAGAGTAACGAATAAAATACATTTACTGTTACTGATACATATAAGTATATTTATATAGAAATACATGTAAGAAAGATCTGAGTTACAAATACTTAAATATGTGTATGCGAAAACACGATTTTGACTGTGAACATTCTGCTATATGATGATTCTGCTTTTCGGCCGACTTCAAAAAGGAGGAGGTTCTCAATTCGACTGTATGTTTTTTTTGTTTGTTACGCGATTTCTCCGTCAATTTAGGGTCGGATTATAAAAATTATTTTTGTAATCACAAGGTATACTCCCGATGTGGTCCAATATAAATTGTATAGAAATTGCTTTTGCCCTTTTCGAGAAAATCAACAAAAGCGTCTACGAACGCGAAGAAATTGATTGCGTTCTCATAACGGAAGTAAATCAAAGTAGTGGCCGATTTTCAAATTCTTTTGTTATTGCAAGGTGATGAAGAGCTTTGGTAATGAGGAACAGAACTTTTCATAGGATCGTAGCAGAGCAGTTGCAATAAGTAATACTGCTTTGTTTTTACATAAAGACGATTAATATGATAGAAGCTCGATATCGGGCCAACTTTGCGAGAGCTGTTGTCATTTAAATGTTTGCTTCATTGAAACGTGTTGTCTTATGTCTTTTACTATCACAGAGAAAGTGACCGCATTCGCTTCAATCAGAAATAAGAAGTAACCAACAACAGTTGGAACTAAAATTTCTTCATATCCACCTACATTGAATGTCCTTCCTTTACCGTGCTGACGTCATTGGAATTCTGATGCAATATTTAAATGGCGGTTGCAAAAAGTTTCGTGTACTTGGTTAGTCACCTGAAGCTATTGAAATCGAGGCGTGCCCCATTACTATGATGGGCGATGGCTGATACTGCCCCATCAAATTATCTAAATTGATTACACAGTCACGTGTGATTGTAAACATTTCACGGCATGTGGGAGCCTCGAACCAACACAACGCCAATTTTCAATTTTTGAATTTTGTAAAAAGGATGGCGATCAATCGTACTGAGGTCCGGCTGATGTTAAGCTCCCATCACAGCTTATAGGGTTCCCTCTATCTGGCAGAATCTTGTTGCTCCAAAAATCATTTGGCATAACACTCTGGGCATAATCTTATCTAGGCATATTTTTTGTAAATATAATTAGTTTGGTCGAATGATTATACAATATCCGAATTCACACTGACATAATGTATATACATAGTTTGCCAGTGTGGATTCTGCCGTCTGGCAGAATTTAATAAGCCATATTGACCTACCTTTGCCAAAATTTTACTCTGCATAATGTTGTTATGCATAATCGGTGTTTGTGGGTAGTGGGTTAGGTAAGGTTAGTGTGGTGACCTAAACAAACCTAGCCAGCCAGCCACCTGATTATTCGATAAATAAAACAAGGTAAAGTTTAATATACGTAAGCCAAAAGACTATTCCGATTGTTAATTTTCTGCGAGATGATGGTTCTGATTTTTAAGTTTGGTAGATATATTTATGAATGCCTAAAGATGATTCCGGTTTCCATAAAATGCGTTTGAATGTCTGTTAAATGATGTTAAATAAAGTTGATACCATCCGCTGATATGCATAATATTATTATAACATTAAAAGTTCCGCAATACAAGGAAGACCCAGCCTATGGATAGACGCTTGCGATACCAAAGTATCACTTACATCGTTCCATACCCTGACCCCATCCGTCCTATTTTACCACTGGAACCTTACTACAATTGTAAGAGGACCAATTATTATAGGTATCTTTTTAATTCAGTGTAATGTAGACTAGTCTAGGTTATTATAGATATTAACGGGATTGTTACCATGTACCTTGTTTTTTATGAGTCTCCGATATTTCGGCACTGTTGCAAGCGCCATGATCACGGAGTAACTCCGTGATCATGGCGCTCAAAAAACAAGGTACATGGTAACAATCCCGTTAATATCTATAATGCTAGTGACCATGAAAGTTTAAAACAATATAGTCTAGGTTAGTTAGTAAAGATAAGGAACGATGGTATTTGATAATAATTCAATCATAATTATAATATCATCAATACGTAAAGGAAACGTATGGATAGATACAGTTATTTTCCTTATAAATTAGGAGTTAGGAGCCATAGTTTATTAATACACAAAGTAATTGAAATATCCGATAACATGCCGTCACCTCCTAATATTCTAACGACTATTATGTAAGTACATCTATTTCGGTAATTGAATTTTGGCCTATTATGGTACCTATAGTTGGATTACTTTTTGTATGAACCCTATTCATTTAATCAGGCATAAGGAATGATGAATCAATATAGCATATTCCTTGAGGGGTAATAAAAGAGGTAGGTCGCATTTTACGCTCGTTTTTTTAAGCAAATAGGGGTGGCAAACCATGTTATAATTCATTTCATGGAAAGTGGCCCATATTCTAGCTTATACGCGCTTGTGATATCAGTACCCTTAGCACGAACCAATATCGAATTCGAATAGTTGAATTCGATCTCGAGACGCGTCAAATGTCAAGTGGTTTTGTATGGAAGATTTTTAATTCTTGTTACGTCCTTTGTGACGCTGTTCAAATTTCCATACAAAACCTCTTGCATCAGGTTCGTTCGCGCGTTGTCATCCCTGGTCCCTCGCCCTGTTCATTATTCCTAGGAGCCCTGGAGCTCCTTACAACTCGCATATCGAAATACAACTGTGATCTTCTCTAAGTCAGCAGTGAACCCCACCAGCTATCCTCAATTTGGCGCTGTATGAAACCCAACTCCCTTAAACCTTACCAAGATAGCGTTATATTGTTTTTTTACTGTGATCTTTTTTAAGGTGAAGGAGGCTCTAATTCAAGTTGAAAATCCTCTATAGCCGCCCTCCTCCCTTCCCTGTCAGAAACTACTGATGAACTGTCGAATGATGCACCATTGATACTCAGGTCAACCCTGCAACAGATATTATGTCACACGCCAATTTAACTCAGTATAAAGTCGAATTTGAATCGCGTATTTGGCATTTTATACTATATATAGTCTTACTAATAACTAACTAATAATATAGTCGAAAGTGGCTTACAAAGTTACCTCGAATAAACCTAATAATTTAATAACAAAGGTCATAGAATATCCAATCGTATTGGAGCACTTCCTCCTTACACCAGTATTATTCTGTAAGAAAAACTATTTTTTCACCTCGGAATACACGGTGTCCAACGATGTGGTGTCATTTAAAATTAGAACACGAATAAGAAACAAGTTTCAAATCACACCGGTGAATTCCGCGATGAGAAGTGAGTTTGTTTGGACAGAGTAGCACCGGAGATCACAATGAAAGTACACTACAGTCGGTAGGCATCCCAAGGCTCTACGGGTAGAAGTTTGGTTTCATGCAGACAAAGTGAGGATGGCTAATAGGTATTTTTTGCTACATCAACTGTCATCGAGACAGGACTCCACTTATATCTAACTAAACATCAGTTGGGGTGAGGGTATTTGCTGCGCATTTTATATAAAAAAAATACGTGTGGCACTCGGGGACTGCCGCGGTAAAGCATTTTTTATCAACTTTTATTTATTTATTTGTTTATTCATATTTAAAACACTTTATACACAAATTTTACGCGTACAGCTGTTCACTGTTGTACATAGATGATAGATATATACCTATACACCTATATACTTTCTCACAAACAGTCTCGATCCGTGCGAGCTTCGTACACACAGTAAAAACTTTTCTTTTAGAATGCTGGCCACAAAAAAGTTTACTGAATTCTAATTTCGAATTGTTCATGAAAATAAAAATGTATACTTTTTAGAATTTTACTCATTTTTAAATATGGAGTGGACGCTTAAAGAAGTCCGTGTTGCAGTTATTGCGTTGCATCGTTGCGGTTATGCGCCAATTCAAATTTTAGACATACTGAAAATTTTGAATATAAACAAAAGATTCGTTTATCGTACCATCAAACGATATAATGAAGAATCTAGTGTAGATGACAGGGCAAGAAGTGGTCGCCCTCGGTCTATTAGGACTCCAGCAGTGATAAAAGATGTGAAGGCGCGAATTCAAAGAAATCCCAAACGTCAGCAGAAACTGTTGGCCCTTCAGATGAGGTTAAGCAGAACCACGGTAAAAAGGGTGTTAAATGAAGACTTAGGGCTTCAGGCATATCGAAGAAAAACGGGACATCGTTTGAATGCTCGTCTAATGGACATGAGACTAAAGAGATGCCGCGCTTTGTTGAAGCGGTACGCGGGAAAAAAATATCGGGAAATTCTTTTTTCGGATGAAAAAATTTTTACCGTAGAAGAGAGCTACAACAAACAAAATGATAAGGTGTAC